CCATTTTGCCTGAGGCACAGGGCTCTTTTGGAGAATTAGCTAGGTGTCATCAGTTTTAAGAAAAGGGGACCCCCAGCTTTGTCTGGAAGCAGTGATTTAGGATCGCTGTCTATGTCTTTAGTGACTATTTATAGAACTGATTGGCCTCGAAATCCTGCTCATGTTCTGACTCCATCATCTGAGAAATAAACAGGAACGGAATTGATAATGACCTTTAGGGAACGACCCTACTTCTAGAACCTGTTTCTCACAATTCCCTCTTTGGGGAATCCTTCCTGATGCATTCCTTTTGACTGTCCCAATTTGAATCGTATCTATTCGCAGTAAATAGGAGGTAAGTGCAAACATGTTGCTAGTAGGCTTGCAGTTCGTACCTGCACAGGTCTGTTCCAAGCACAACATGTTTAAACCTGTCTCTGAGATCAGGGAGAGATCAGCAGGCCAGTTCTCTCAGTAAAACACTTGTCTGAGTCTCCTGGGGTGCCATCCAAAAAGAGTCAACCTTGGCTTCTAAGGGGATCTGCTGGGTAAATTCAATTCAGAGCCGAGTGGTCCACTCGGGAGGTTATGGCAACTGTTTAGGGGATGCCAAAGGAGTAATCTTACTAAATTCTCTTGAAAGACACAGGAAGAGCCTGGGGACATAGCATAAGAAGTCTGCAGGAAACGGAAAACTGCGTGAGTGAGAAAAAGACCAGGCAAGCTGTGCTGAAGCACTGTCTCCCTTCCTCACAGGACACCTGCACCATCTTTGAGGGAACACGGACTGCCCGAGGAGAAAGTTGCTGGGAAACCTTACCCCCGACAGCCATGCTCTTGACCCTTCAAATGTTATTTGTTTCCCCACAAAGGCACCAAATTTAAAACTTTCAAGGAAACCCAAACCACAGGTCTGACATGGTGTGACCTGAAGAACACAGAATTTGGGGGAGGATGGGATGGAGAGATGAAAACACCGCTTTCAGAAGTGTGCTGGTCATAGATGGTGGAAAGGTTGAGAAACCATGGCTTCGCATTTTGTTACTTTTCACAGCGTTATTAATATGAAAGGTTTCTACCATTTCAAAGCAATTTTATTACTTTTGTACATGGTTACACTAATTTCTGGTTTTTCCTCTGTGCGTTTAGATTTGTAACATTTTTAAGGAATAGAACGTAGTATGGTCACTTTCAATCAGAGTTTCAATTTAGTAATTAGAATGGTCAAGACCCAGGTCAACTTCAAAACCCCGCACAACCACCTCAGGTTAGAACACCTTTCTGAATCTTGTTTACCTCCAGGACGGGAATGCAGCCATTCCTTGTCTGCTCACCTCTCGCCTTCCCAGCTGCTGCTATTGCAGTGGGCTGACCAGGGGGCCAGGAGAGGCCTGTCGTTAGAGTCCTTCCTGAGCTGTTCCTTTTGGAGGCTGGCTTTGAATTCTCCGGGTCTGGCTAAGAATAGCTCGTCTCTTTTCTGATGTATTGGTGGCGTCTCTGCTCATGCGTCAGGTCCCAGGATGTACAAGACGTGCTCCATTCTTCCTCCCTCTGCGCTCCAGCCCCTGGTTTCTGCAGCTGTGATAGGGAATGAGGAAACCCTGGGGACACTAGCATCTCTCTCCAACCAGCTGCCTTTCATGGGGCCTTCTGGCTCCTCTTCCGGCTTCTGTTTCCCATCATTTCTCCATGTGCACGCTTCCCATGTGAAGGTGGCTGTGTTTTCAAATGGGTCCCTCTGGGCCTTGCATACAGGATCCAGCAAACCCCAAACAGGTATGCAGGGGACCCCACCTGAGCTAGGGTGCTGAGACAAGGAGAGTGTGGTAGTTACACAATTTCAGGTCAACTTGATAAATAAGAAGGAAGGAGTGGGGTCTAGCCTGTCAATCAGGTCACAGCCTGCTGATCCCTCCTTGTGGGTGTCTCCTTCTCATGAGGATTCTGGGAACTTCCTCTCTTCCTCCCTGCTGGTGGGACACATACATTCTCTCTGCTACATATTCTGTTGACAAGCCACATGGCGCTATGCTGATGGCAGTCAGAGCCTTGGAGCTGGAGGAGCCAGGCGGAGAGCCATGCCAGCGCGGAGATGCTCCCACTGGACTTTTCACCCACTGGCCTGTGATCTTCCTGCATTCGCCATCATTGTGTGTGCTGTGGGAGTCTGAAGGGGAATTTATGGACTCATGTCAGACGTATGGGCTAATATCAGACTTATGGACTTGATCTGGACTGGGCTAGGATGTTTTCTCAATATACAATTGCTCTTTGATAGAAAGCTTTCTCTTACATAGATATCAGTGTTTCTGGATTTGTTTCTCTAGTCAACCCGGACTAACACAGAGAGGTTTACCACAACAGAATATGTGAGTCCCTGGCTTGCAGCCTTCTCTGCACAACCTCAATGAACTGGCAGAACACCACTTAGTGTCTTCTCCTTGGCTTGATGGAGCGGAGAGTGAACCGACTTTTTTCTCCTCCTAGAGATGCAACCGGGGTAAGGTATCCGCCCTTGCTGGGCTCGTTGGCAAACTGAACATCCTGAGAGACCACCCTCTGCTCGGCAGTTGTGAGGGAGAATGGAAAGGCATCAAGGGCCCTGACTCTCCATGGGCATGCCCAATGGGAGTGATTGCTAGCCCTGAGTTGACTGTACTGGGCCTGGGCCCCCTCGGGCCTCTGGCTCCCCATGTCCAGCTCTACACATCTGCCACAGACAAGACACCACTACAGGTTCATTCGGCAACCGCCTTTATTGAGTGTCTTACAGGCCTCCTAAGTCCAGCCCTTGTCAGGTCCTTCCCTCAGTCCTCTTTTTCGTCGCCATGGGTGATGATGTAGCACAGGGACTTGTAGTCTATGTTCCCTGCCAGGTCCATGGGTGTCAGGGCGAACATCTGTTCAACCTGGAGGAGATGAGGAGCAGAGCCCCGCTGAGAGGCATGGAGGGGCTGGGGTTGGATAGAGAGACCTGAAGGGAAGCCTGCGACCATTCCTCCCCTTCTCCTCCAGCAGCATCTTCACCCAGAGTCCTCATGCTGTCTGCCGTGGGCCTCTGGGCAGCCCAGGGACATGGAAGTGCCTCTTCGCACTTCTCTGTCTGCACCTCCCTGCCCTGCAAGCACAGGGCACCCTTCTGGTGGCCTCAGCCCACACCGACTCACCTGCTTGAGCACCGGGACCTCTGGACATAGGCACGCACAGCCCTCTGTGCCTGGCACAGCTCCTCCGCTTCAACCGCACCCCCAGAGAGCTGGCCAGGCTGAGTCCAGTGCTTCCCATGGGCTCTGACCTCTTGACAGCAGAGCGCTGGGCTTGGCTGGCTCACTGAGGTAGTCTAAAGTCCCTGCCTGGCAGGGTCCAGAGTAAAGGTCAGGAGATGGAGTTGAAAAGATGCCTCACCTCAGCTGGAGAGAACTTGTCTGCCTGAGTCAGAAGCAGCTGCTTGAACCTGGAAGAATTGAGTGGGCCACAGAAGGGCCAGATGCTTGGGGGCCTGGGTGGGAGCTCCCACTGCCCACTCCCAAAGAAGAGCAGAAGGTGCTCCAAATTGAAGGTGGCCACCCTCCCAACAGGCTGGGGTGGAGGTGGGGGCCCGGCAGAGGGGCCCTGGGTACAGCCATGCATGCTTACTCATCCTTGTTCACCACGCCCTGGCCACTGGGATCAAACATTCGGAAAGCACTCAGGATGGCTTCCTCGGGGTCCGTCCCTGCGGGGGGGTGGAGAAAGTCGGGCAGACACCTACTGATCAGCGAAGGGGCTCGGCTCAGGGGGAGCCACTAGGAACATGTGGGACCTGCCAGGTCTCCCTGCTGCCCTTTGAAGCACAGAAAGACTGGGACGATTAGGACTGGGCTTTTGAAATGGGCCTGAGTGCCCGTTTGCACACTCTGCAGTGGGGACGTTGCTGGCAGTGCCTATGGGATGCCGGGCAGGTACATGCAGTAGGACTCATTCTCTGAGCCTGTGTGGCCACTATAGGTGGAGAACAGGCAGAGGCTAGAGCCAGGCTGGAGGGGGTGGGGTGGGGGCGGGGTGGTTCAGACCAGAGGGTCCTGACCTCCTGCCTCACCATTAAGCTTCTCTCCAAAGAGCGTGAGGAAGACGGTGAAGTTGATGGGGCCCTTCCCCTCCTGGAGCATGGAGTCCAGCTCCTCCTCGGGGACACTCACTTTTCCTGAGAGCGAGGATAGGTGTGGACAGAGATGTCACCTGCCTGCCCCATCCCATCTCGGGAGAGGCGGCAGAATGGAGAAGGAAAGAAGTGGAAGAAAGATACAGACAGAGGGGAGGGAGGGAGGCGTGAGGAAGCTGGGTGGGTAGGACATAGAGACAGCCTCGGGAGGCGGGGAGTCCAGGCTCAGCTGGAGGAGGGTGAGAAAGGGCTCATGACCCACCAAGCTGGGAGTAGGTCTCCCTCAGATCAGCCTTGCAGATGAACCCATCACGGTTCTGGTCGATGCAGCTGAAGGCCTGGGAGGGAGGGGCGCTGTGAGGAGCCAGAGCAAAGGCAGGCCCGGAAAGCGCTGGGCAGCGCCGGGGAACTGACTGGCAGAGCAGGGGTAGGGCTGCTTTGGGGTTGGGAAACTTACTTCCTTGAACTCCTGGATCTGGGCTTGTTCGAACATGGAAAAGACATTGGAAGAACCTCGTTGGGCCTGCTTTGTGGCTGCAGCCTTGCCCCGGGTCCCTGCCTTCCTGCTGGCCTGCAACACAGTGGGTGGGAGGGGTCCTCTCCCATGCCCCGAAGTCCATTCCCTGGGACACTTCTCTTTCTCATCCCTGGGACCCAGAGGGGTCCCCTGTTGGCCCAGGAGGACTGAGGAGTACCTTTGACGGCTGGGACCCCCAGCGCATCTCTCTCCTTGGCAGCGTCCCTCTGGGGAGCTGAGTCTGCTCCCCTGGTCCCCTAGCAGCGTACTGGCACTTGTGAGCCGCTGGCCTTGTCACCCCCATTTGGCACTTACCATCCTCTTGGGCTGTCCCCTGTGTCCCTGCTGCAGCTTGGTGGCTGCGCAAGGCCACAGCCCGCTTTATGCATCAGCCTTATCACCTGGTGGGCCAAATAAGGAAAGAAGCCAAGGACAGGCCCAAACTTGGCAGTCCCTGCCTGGACTGGAGCAGTGGAGAGCCCCCTGCAGATTCCAGCCACATTCCGGTGACCTCCGGGGCTCCAGCAGGCTTCGTTCACAGCCTCAATTGACATGACGTGCCACCCAACCCAGCTCAGCTGAGGCTCAGCAGCGCAGGCTTTAAGTCTATCCAGCTGAGAGCAAAGGAGGCTCTTTCTGTTCTAGATGCTGCAGAAGGGTTTCCTCCCTTGCTGTGCCTGGGCCCCTAAATTCAGCTTCAATGCCTTGCCTTCACAGAGAGCTGGGACTGTCCCTTCTACAGATCCACCTCCGAACCTGCCCTTCTCGAGAGCACAGCGGAGGTTGGCCTGGTTCCCACTTGACTGGAGAGGGGTGGTTCTGAGGACAGAATTCCTGAGGCTTTCGCAAACACTCTGTGGCAGAGTTGTCCTGGGTAGACGGTGACCCCAACCCTCTGCTTGGCTTTAGGGCACACTGTTGGAACTGGCCGTTCTCCCTCCAGGGCTCTGCTGTGGTTGTCTCCCCTCTGCAACGTCTCCTTGAGGCACCGTCATCTCCGCTTTTTGAGATCGCATCCCTCCAGTCCCCCCTCTCTGAGAGCGCTCCCAAGGGCTCTCTTCCCTTCCTGTGGCAAGGTTCCCAGGGCCTGGGGCTGGGGCTGCAGTGTTCTTAGCCCATCTCTCTGCGCTGCTCCTCCAGGCTGCTCAGAAGTGTTGATACCTGTGTTCCCGAAGGGCACAGCACTGGTGACAGACACACTTGCCCGCGGAAGTGTTCGATATGACACCTCAGGGAACACGCTGGGAACCTGAAGGCAGAATGGACCCCAGGCATCCTTTTGGGCCCTGGTGAGAGTCAGTCATAAATAAACTCAGGGAAGCCTTTGCCAGGGCACCTCCTGTGGCCCCCATTGGCCTGAACTGCAGTGTGCGGTGGATCAGTCCAGCTGCTTGTCTTGGTGTGTTGGGGAGGGGCTATCTACTGGGCCAGAGAGCAGGGTTCTGCCAGCTCCTTCCTGGCTGTGGATACAGAGAAGATGCCGGGAATTCAGGGAATCTTCCAGAGGCCAACCACACGTGCTCAGTTGCGCATCTGTTGTCTTCTCTTCTGGGGCATGGCATTCGTGCCTGTCGGGCGTGCCCTCAGTCTGGCCTTCAGGGTGAGGGGTAAGAAGGAATGCAGGGAGTAGTGGGAGGGGTTCTCATCTCACTAAATGCAACACCCCCTCTGTGTAACAAAGAGTTAATAACACCTTCTTGATTACCCTGGGTGCTTGGCTGCTGAACGTTGACTCCACCCAGAGAAGGGTGCCTAGGAAGAAATGGCTGGTGAGCTACTTCCCCCCGAAGGACAGCCATTGAAAACCTATGCAGCACACACTTTTATGCGGACACACATAGGGTTCCTATGAGTCAGGGGGGATTTGATGACCATGAACCTGAAGTGATATCCATAGACTGTATAAACTGGACAGAGAACTGAAGATAAAGTCAGTCTCGTGCCCTAAACTAGGTGAAATGAACAGAAATGAATTGATAAAGAAATGTTTTTATATATAAATAATTTTAACTTACATATTGGAAGACATAAGGAAGTGAAGGAAATGCTTGTCCCAGTCTGCGAGTGGAGCAGCAAGTTGGATTGGAAGAACTAAGATCAGGAGCAATCCCAAGTATGAAGTGCCGTACAATGAGCATGTGTATCATGGTGATACACATTGGGACACAGTACTTAATGTCCTGTCACAGAAAATGTGGTGGACATTAATCAATCCGTGGCGACAGTCATCTCTCAAGTGACTGGGTAGTTGCTGTTATTGAAAACAACCGGTGTGTATTAAAATCATACAAAAGTGTGTGTTTACTTTGTTCTATTAAACTGATGT